TCTTCTTCTTCTTCAGACTTCTTCTTCTTCTTCTTCGGACTTCATCTTCTTCTTCTTCTTCAGACTTCTTCTTCTTCTTCTTCAGATTGGAGACTTCATACTAGTTGGGCGGAGATCAGTGTTGGACTTCGGTGGTATGAGGCTGTGGTACTTACCGGATTCGAGACTTGGAGATTGTTGGGGTTGATACTCGGCGGCATCACAGTTCGGACACCGTTTACATTAGGACTCTGTATCTCCGACATTGGTGACTTATTGTCCTCGACATTTTGATCTTGTTTGATGACATTTTGGACTACCATATCGGTGACCYATCRGAYTYTATCTYGGTRACCTTCGGTGCTGTCTACCTCCCCCACCTCCTTCGTCTCTCCTCCCACCTTTCATCTGTGTACGTGTGTACGGGGCCTGAGCATCGTCTATGCATGGCTCAGACCCCACCATCTCACGATTGTATGTGTGTGGAGTGATATCGGTGTGAGTCAGTCTATGTGAGTCAGACTATGTGAGTCAGTCCGTTTATCAGACTTCCGCTGCATACATGTTCATCCTATATTAGTTGATCTTTGGTTCTGCCCCATACTCGTTGATACATTCACGAGTATGTAACAGTTTTGGTATCAGAGCAGACCATTTCACGGATCTGCTCACAAGGGAAGTCTGATTAGGAATAGAGTGCTTCTTCGATCTTCCCAATCAACTCTGTATTACTATCGAGATTCAAAGTTGCAAATTTTTTTTTTTTCGGTATTCTGTTTAAATCGGCATTCCGTTTCAATTCGTTATTCGGACTTTTTCTTCGGATTTCTGTTTTAATCCGGTATTCTGGTTACTTCGGATTCCGATTAAGTGCATTCTGGGTAATCCGACATTCTGTTTAATTCGGATTTCTGATTATTAATTCGTGATTAGGTTTAAATCAGTACTCTGTTTAATTCGGCATTCTGATCTTAATCCTGTATTTCGTTTTCTAAATCGACATTTCCGTTTTATTGCAGTATTGGAAATTAGGGTTACGAAATTTTTTGGTTTTTCGATCAACTTGGGAAATTCGAACGTTTTGGAACCGTAAATCCGGAAATTCCGCGGAATCGCGGAAAATTAGGGTTGGACCCGAAATTTTTGCGATTTTTTTTCTTTTCTTTCCCTGGTTTGAGAAATTCCAAAAACGAACTTGGGCCTTTAAAAATCGGATTTTGTAGGCTGAAAATCCCAAAATTTTACGTTCTTCGAAATTTCGAGTGTTTTTCTTCCAATATTTTCGAAAAAAAAATTGTGCAAAGTGTTCGTCATTGTTCCCCAGAATCGCAACTTCCGGGAAGTTCACTATTCAACGGTGAACTTCCGGACTAAAGATGATCTCAACGGATACCTAATCTTGGTACAATTCAAATTCGTTCATTATCATTATTGCAAATATTGTTTTATTGATTATCATTAAGAATCATTATTGCAAATATTGTTTTATTAATTATCATTAAGAATTATTATTTCGTTATTAATCATTAATTAAACTTTATTGATTAAATAATTCGTTATTATTTTCTTATTACGAAATTTTGAGTTGTTTACGGAAAAATTTATCTTTATCTGTTTGATTAGGTGTCTAAGTCCATCAGTGGGACAGGGACTGTATGAGAAGTGCTTGATTGTCCTACCCCTGTTCCCACTCTCCCTACCCTCCCCGTAATCTGTGACCACAGGGATTTCTCAAGTACCACATCAGCTAGAACTGATGTCGACGGAACAGGACACCGGGGCACTGCCACGACGCAGTGCCAGACTTGCAGTTCGTGCCCGTTCTGTGGTACCTCCACGAACCAAGTATCAGCAACAGCGACTCAGCAAGCGGACAACTCCAGCGGCATCGAATACAGCACTGACAGTACCGGTTACCACCGGAGTTCTTCCCGCATGTCCGGTCCAAGGGACCCTTGAACCGTTGGCTGACTACCTTGGGCGGCTACAGGTATTCACGGATGCCGTAGCTACCGCCAAGGCTCAGCAGGAGGCAGCAGAGGCAGAACGTTAGCGGCTGGCCAATGAGGCGGCAGCCCAAGCTCAGCAGACTGCTGAGGCTGACGCAGCGGCACAAGACAGACGGAATGCCGCCAGCACGGAGTCCCTGATTCAAAGTGAGAATCAGTGGACAACGCTACTCCAAGACATGATCTTTGTGCCTACGGACGCGCAAGCGGATCGGACACAGGAGGAGGCAGAGAGAAGTAACCTGGCTAACTTGCTGCTGGGCATGATGAGGGGAATCATGTGGAATAACACACTGCTGCAAGCACACCTGCGCACGGAACGACAGCAAAGACAAAAGCACCAGCAAGAAGTGGCCGCTTTAACAGCTGCCATCCGCGCCGCAGCAACACAGCAGCAGCAACAACAGCAGTTGTTGAACTCCACTCTCGCACGCATCAACAGCATTGAGGCTAAGGCCTCAGCAGCGCCAGGCTGCACGACAGACGCGACGAAGCAGCTCAACGAACGCATTGATCATGTCGTCACTATCATTGGCGAACTAGGTGATTTCACTAGTCCGGCCACGATCAGTAGCACGGTGGCCCCCATCAAGACGAGCATCACCAAACTGCAGACAAAACCGGACGCCGCTACAAAGAATTACAAGATGCCGCACTTCGACATCAACAAGTTCGACGACTACAACAAGACGGACGCCTTGACATGGTGGCAAAGTTTTCTCACGGAAGCATCATGCCGCACTGTCCCGGCTAACGACATGATGAAGGAGCTCTACTTACAACTGATTGGAGGAGCGCAGGCATGGATGAACCATCTGGCGGCTATCAAGAAATGCACCATCGCCGAACTCCACACGCAAATCACGTGGAAGGAGTTCGAGCAACTGTGGTTCACTTGCTTCATGGTCCGCAACGTCGTGAAGCGGCCATGAACGAGGTGTACACCTGCTCGCAAGGGAGTATGCCAACTTGAGACTGGACAACCAAGTGGCAAAAGATAGTGACCACGCCAGACTTCGATTTGAGTTTCCCTAACCAACGATCCGAGTTCTTCTTGCGATCATGCGCAGGACTGCGAACCGCACTCAACAATGAGTACGATTATGCCTCATTCCAGGCCATCCTGGATCGTGCGAACTTGGTCATCCAAACGGATGACAAGGCCACAAACGAACGGTAGTCCCAGCCGCATTATGTGGCTAAGCAGGGCTATTAACGACCGACACATAACAATGTCGTGATTTCTGAAGAAACAGTCGATCTCCACGCTGCAGCAGCATCCTCGAGTGATGGAGGAATTGTAGCAGCGCTCCCGCCGAAGCGTCCCAAGAGAGTTCGGAAGAACAAGGCAACACAAGAGACGACATCGACGGGAACTGGGCAGCAGCCATGGACGGCATACAAGATAACCAAGGAAGTCTATGACCTTCGTCAACGGTACGGATATTGCCTTTGGTGCAATGGAGTCACTCACTTGACTGCACAATGCCCCGAAAAGGGCAAGGCACGTGTACCCCGTCCAGCGAACTCGGGAAACTGAGTTGCGCAAGGAGAGAGGCGACGTCTCTCCCCACTCCGCCGGAACCGGTTGCCTTGCTAGCAATCGATGTCACTGCCGGGGAGCATGCGTTAGTCGCTGATTCTCGTGCTACGTACGAGGATTATGCCTCCCAGCTGGTACCACCATTAGACCAGCCGAGCCACGTGCACTTGGATTGCGTATGCGCAGCCTGTACACCGTCCGCATGTGATCCGGTCAGCTCGCCACTGATTTCCGAGGACTCGACGACGTGGTCAAGACTTGAGGAGCTTGACCCGCTCACGAGAGAGGATTTCGCTTTGATGCCTCTACCCTCGACCGGAACCTTACCAAGGCCGCATTGCAACGCCTTGATGGCAAATCTACGCTCTTATTTGTACACTACAGTACCAGCTCCGTTGACGGACGACGGGGTAGCGGTTGTCGATCTCCGCTCCTATCTTGCGAAAATTGACCGCGAGTACGCCACCCAAAGGTACGCCGAAACCGACGCTCCTTTGCTCTATATCCGCATTCAAATCGGAAAGGCAACCCGTAGTGCCTTGATTGATTGCGGAGCGTCTCGCAACTTTATGAGCCAAGCCTTTATGGCCCGCGCGTTTGAAGGAAGACGCAACCCACGCAAGTTACACTCGCGGACAGCCGCACGCAAAAGTCGATTGACCGATGCGTAGACGACATTCCGGTATACTTTGCGCCACTTGTGTGCGAGCCAGTGTCTTTTGACATCCTCGACACCAAGTTCGACATGATTATAGGCATGTCTTGGTTGCGTAGCGCCGATCATCCGGTGAACTTTCATGACCAAACCGTTCACATCCGTGATCGGAACGGAGTGTTAGTCCCATGTACGGTCGCGACCCCTCACACTTCAATTGCTTGTCCCGAGATTTCCGTTGCGAGAATTCGCGACGCCATAGCTCGGAATGACGTCGAGGAGATGGGCCTTGTATTTCGGCATGCTCTCCCCTCGTCGGACGGACCAGCCGCGTCACCGCCGGACCCACGCATCACTCACCTCTTGGACGAGTATAGAGACATCTTCGAGGCTCCCACCGGAACGGTTCCGGATCGGCCCATACGTCACGGGATCAATCTCGAGGCTGGTGTCGTCCCTCCACGTGGATGTATCTACTGCATGAGCGAAGAGGAACTCGAGGTGCTTCGCGCACAACTCGATGACCTTCTCGACAAGGGCTGGATTCGCCCTAGTTGTTAGCCTTATGGTGCCCCTGTTCTCTTCGTCCGGAAGAAGAACAAAGATCTACAGTTATGCATCGATTATCATAAACTTAACGCACAAACCGTAAAGAACGCCGACCCTCTCCCTCGGATTGATGATCTCCTTGAGCGGTTAGGCRRCSCGACGTACTTCTCGAAGTTGGACTTGAAGTCGGGTTACCACCAAATTGAAATCCAGCCTCAAGATCGGTACAAGACCGCGTTCAAGACGCGGTACGGGCATTTTGAGTGGGTTGTCATGCCATTTGGCCTCACCAATGCCCCCGCGACTTTCCAAGCAGCTATGACGACTGAGTTYCGCAACTTGCTCGATCGCAGTGTCCTCATCTACCTCGATGACATCTTGGTCTATAGTAGGACGTTGGACGAGCACATCGTACACCTTCGCACTGTTTTGGATCGTTTGCGACTGACCAAGTACAAAGCGAACCTCGACAAGTGCGAGTTCGCTAAGCAGGAGCTTGAGTATTTGGGCCACTATGTTACGCCGAAAGGCATTCGTCCCTTAGCGGACAAGATCCAAGCCATCGTGGATTGGCCGGAACCCCGTTGCACGACGGATGTACGCTCTTTCATGGGTTTGGCTGAATATTATCAGCGATTTGTCGGGTCATACTCGAAAGTGGCCGCTCCTTTGTCGAGACTTCAGTCCCCGAAGGTGCCCTTCGAGTTCGACGACGCAGCCTGTGGCGCGTTCACTACGTTGAAGGCAGCGATGCAAGCCGCACCTGCCCTCCGTATATACGACCCCACCCTTCCCACCCAAGTGACTACGGACGCTTCGGGATACGCCATTGGCACAATGTTGGAACAGTGTCACGAGAACGGTTGCCATCCGGTCGAGTATTTATCCCAAAAGGTGTCTCTCGTCAACACTCTCGACGACGCTAGGAAGAAAGAGTTACTTGCGTTCGTCACCGTTCTCAAGCAGTGGCGCCACTTTCTTCTTGGCCGTCGGCGTTTTAAATGGAATACGAACAACAATCCGTTGACCTTTTACAAAACGCAGGATACGGTCACTAGCACGATCGATCGATGGATGTATTACATCGACCAGTTCGACTTTGACCCATGCCACATTCCCGGTCACGCCAATCGAGCTGCGGACGCCCTCTCACGACGGCCCAATTTTTGTGCCATTGTGACCACGGCATTCGACCTCCATGACGATCTGCAGCCGCATTTCGTCAAAGGCTACAAGTCCGATCCGACTTACTCTACGCTTTACGCGGAGCTTTCATCGGATCACCCGTCGGCTAGCCACTATCGGATTTCGGATGGGTTCCCTCTCCTTCACACGAGAGGAAATGACTTGTTAATTGTGCCCCAAGATCGCATCTTACGGACTCGTCTTCTCGGCGAATTCCACGACGCACGACTTTCGGCACACCTTGGCGTGAACCGCACATTAGCACGCCTCCACCAGCGTTTTCACTGGCCCGACGTCCTTCATGACGTCACGAGGTACATTGAGTCATGTGTAGTTTGCCACCGTAACAAGGGTCGATCTCGACTCCCCTTTGGCGAACTGAAACCGTTGCCGATTCCTCGGGCACCGCGCCTCTCCATTGCTATGGACGTGACAGGCCAGTTCCCCCGTGATCGCCACGGCTATGACGGTATTCTCACGGTTGTTGACCGTTTGAGCAAGTATGCTCGCTTCCTTCCTTGCAAGTATCATGCTGCAGCACCTGAGCTCGCACGACTCTTGCACACCGGTTGGATTACCAACCAGGGTGTTCCAGAAGACATAGTGAGCGACCGAGATACTCGCTTCGTATCGGCTTTTTTAACTTCCCTTATGGCTGAGTCCGGTACGACAATGAAGCCGAACTCGGCTTGGCACCCGCAGACGGATGGCCAGACGGAGCGAGCACACCAGACCGCTCAGGTGATGTTGCGTACGCTCATCCGTCCCGACTAGAAAGATTGGGTTGACCGGCTTCCCGACATCGAGTTTGCCTATAACACTTCGGTGCACCCGGCGATCTGCGTCACACCATTCGAGCTACATCATGGTGGAGAGAAAACACGGATCTTCGCTGATCTCCTTCTGCCACAAGCCGCCGACATAGACGTCCCTTGCTCTCCCGCTTCCGTTCGGAAGTATCGGGACTTGCTGATCAAAGCCCGCGCGAATATGCAAAAGGCTCAAATCCGCATGCAACAGCAAGCTAACCGACGT